AGTTATCGAGATATTAATCATTAAAAAAAAATTTACGCCAAGTATATGCAAGTGTATCGTACATTAGGTACATCTTATCTAAATATTATTTTAACAAATAAAAGTTGTTCAAAAACAAATATGAGATCATACAAATTGCCAAGTATTTGATTAGACATAGAGAGTAGAGACAAAAATATTTTATTCCAAACCAGAAAAAAATTTTTTTAAATAAATTGTTTAAATTATTCAAAATTATATGCAGCAAAAGTTGAATGCCATTGTCTTTCCAAATAACTTTAAGTTTTGTAAAACAGATTTAAAGTTATAATTAAAATGATCAATAGAATCATAGTGAAGCAAAAACTTGGTCATTATGTAAAATTTTTTCTTTTTTTAAAATGATTAGTATCTCGATAACAACTATTGCAAAGATCGTAAAATGGTAGAGGACTTTTTTGTTCAGTTTGGTATCTGCCCACAAGCGCTGTACCATTAAGTAGAGACACCCTGTATATATATATATCTATATATATCTTCACAAAAGCTTTGCTTCTTGCAGTTGACGTGATACTGAACGTGGAGACACTCGAGCGAGATTTCAAACGTTACAATTGACTTTGTGGGCGTGGAGCGACTGTTGATCAAAGCATGTCTTTTAAGAATCTGAAAGTGGAACGTGTTGAAGGTGAGCTAGCGGCCGCGTTAGCAAATTGGTATCCATCTCATAAGCGTGGCTTCGTTAAAATTGGTCAGAAAGAATGGTTCCTACCGTACAAATATGTCGAGGATGGTGGCGACGTATACGAAATTGAAACTCGTCCGGATGATACATGGATCGTTACCTATCCTAGATCAGGTAAATTATTTCTATTTTTCAGATTTAACGTACGTCCAGATGTTATCATGTCATGGCGATTCTCCTTTTCTCATTTTTCGGAAAACGGGAAATGCGATATATTTGTCAAATATAAATAAAAAATTTAAAGTTTCTATTTGGAAGAAGATGATTTATAAAAGAATATATACAATAGAACACAAATTATGATCAAATTATTCTAAAGATAAAGACATTATAATTCAAAATTGGTAATAATGCCGAATAGGGGACCCACCCACATAGCACGAAGTCGACTGTTAATCGACTGTCAGTCGGCAGAAGAAGTCTAAAGTCGACTTCAAAGTCAAACTAAATGTCAACTTATAGTCGACTAACAGTCGACAAATGTCTCGACTATAGTCGGCTGTAAGTCAGCCATGTCA